ATGTAAAATAAATTCTAAAAGCACTAAAACGAGAAATTGACAGTTCCACACTATTAGCAAGAGACTTCAATATCTCAGTAAAGGACAGACCATCTAGAAAGAAACTCAACAAAGATACAGAAGATCTAAAGGCCAAAATTATGCATATAACACTCCACCCAACACCTGCAAAGTATACATTTTTTTCCAATGCACATAGTAACATTCACCAGAATAGACCACGTCTTAGACCACAAAGCAATCCTCAACAAAATCCAAAGAACTGAGATAATACAAAGCATCTTCTCCAATCACAACGCCATAAAAGTAGAAATTAACAGGAAGAGCAAGGAAAAAAAAAATGCGTGGAAACTAAATAACACCCTGATTAAAACCCACTGGGTGATAGAAGAAAAGATGGAATCAAAAAATTCCTAGACTCAAACACATCGTACCAAAACCTTTGGGATACAGCAAAGGCAGTGCTCAAAGGTCAATTTATAGCAATAGATGCACACATCAAAAAAGAAGGAAGGGTGCAGGAGAAAAGACCTGGCAATCTGCTCCTGTAAAGATTACAGCCGAGGAAACCCCATGGGGCAGTTGTACTCTGTCCTGTAGGGTCACTACGAATCGGAATCGACTTGACAGGACACAACAACAACAATGTATTGACAATGTGGCATTTATATGCATAAAACAGAAAAACAAAAATTAAAAAAAGAAGAGATAAAATCAAAACGTTAGCTATACAACTCAAACAGAAAGAGAACAGCAAAAGCCCACAGCCACCAGAAGAAAAGAAATAATAAAGATCAGAGCAGAAATAACTGAAATAGAGAAGAGAAAAACAACAAAAAGAATCAACAAAACCAAAAGGTGGTTCTCTGAAAGGATCAACAAACCTGACAGACCTTTAGCCAAACTGACAAAAGAAAAACAGGAGAGGAAGCAACCTACATAAGAAATGAAATGGGGGACATTACAACAGACCCAAATGAAATAAAAGAGATCATAACAGAGTACTATGAAAAACTGTACTCCAAAAAATTTGAAAACGTAGAGGAAATGGACAAATTTCTACAAACACACTACCTACCTAAACTAACACAAACTGAGGTAGAAAATATGAAAAGATCCATAACAAGAGAAGAGACTGAAAAGCAATAAGAAAAGTCCCAACAAAAAAAAGTCCTAGCCCAGATGGCTTCACTGGAGAGTTCTACCAAACATTCAGAGAAGAGATCACACCAGTACTACTCAAACTACTTCAGAACATAGAAAAGGAAGGGATACTTCCAAACTCATTCTATGAAGCCAGCATAACCTTGATACCAAAACCAGGCAAAGACACCACAAAAAAAGAAAACTGCAGACCAATATCTCTCATGAATATAGATGCAAAAATTCTCAACAAAATTCTAGCCAACAGAATTCAGCAGCATATATTAGAAAAATAATACACCACGACCAAGTGGGATTCATATAAGGATGGTTCAACGTAATCTACCACACAAACAGAAAAGAAATGAACCACATGATCATCTCCATCAACGCAAAAAAAGGCATTTGATAAAGTCTAACACTCATTCGTAATAAAAACTCTCAATAAAACAGGAATAAAAGGGAAATTCCATAACATAATAAAGGGCATCTATACAAAACCAACAGCCAACACCATTCTTAATGGAGAGAGGCTGAAACAGTCCCCCAGAGAACAGGAACAACACAAGGATGCACTTTATCCCCACTCCTATTTAACATTGTGCTGGAAGTCCTAGCTAGAGCAATAAGCCAAGAAAAATAAAGGGTATCCAAATTGGTACGAAAGAATTAAAACTGTCCCTATTTGCAGATAATATGATACTATTATAGAGAACTCAAAGACTCCACAATAAAACTACTGGAACTAATAGAAAGATTCAGAAGAGTAGCAGGATACAAGATATACTAAACTCAGTTTGGAGTCCCATACACCAATAAAGAGAACTATGAAAAGGAAATCAGGAAAGCAACACCACTTATAATAGCCCCTAAAAAAATAAAATACTTAGGGATAAATCTAATCAGGAACGTAAAAGACCTCTACAAAGAACACTACAAAATACTACTGCAAGAAACAAAAACAGACCTACATAAATGGAAAAACCTACCATGCTTATGGATAGGTAGACTCAACACTGTGAAAATGACAATTCTAGCCAAAGCAATCTACAAATACAATGCGATTCTGATCCAAATACCAGCAGCATTCTTTAACGAGATCGAAAAACTAATCATTAACTTTATATGGAAAGGAAAGAGGCCTCACATAAGTCAAGCAGTATTGAAGAAGAAGAACAAAGCAGGAGGCTTCACACTACCTGACCTCAGAACCTACTATACAGCTGTGGTAGTCACAACAGCCTGGTACTGCTACGATAGACACACTGACCAATGGCACAAACTGAGAACCCACATGTACACCCACCCACCTATGGTCTGCCAATCTTCAACAAAAGCCCGAAGTTCATTAAATGGGGAAAAGACAGTCTTTTTAACAAACAGTGCTGGCAAAACTGGATGTCCATCTGTAAGAAAATGAAACAGGACCCATACCTCACACTGTATACAAAAACTAATTCAAAATGGATCAAAGACCTAAATAAAAAACCAAAAACTATAAAGATCGTGGAAGAAAAAACAGAGTCAATACTAGAGGCCCTAATACATGCCATAAATAAGATGCAAACCATAACTAACAATACACAAACACCGGAAAATAAGCTAGGTAACTGGGATCTTCTAAAAATCAGACACTTATGCTCACCAAAAGACTTAACCAAAGAGTAAAAAGAGAACCTACAGACTGGGAAAAAAAATTTGGCTATAACATATTTGACAAAGGTCTAACCTCTAAAATCTACAGGAAAATCCAACACCTCTACAAAAAAAGACAAATAATCCAATTAAAAAATGGGCAAAGGATATGAACAGACACTTCACCAAAGAAGTAATTCAGGTGGCTAACAGACACATGAGAAAATGCTCGGGATCACTAGCCATTAGAGAAATGCAAATCAAAACTACGACGACATACCACCTCACCCTGACATTACTGGCACGAATCAAAAAAGCAGAAAACAACAAAAGTTGGAGATGCTGCAGGAAGACTGGGACTTTTATGCACTGCTGGTGGGAATGTAAAATGATACAACCATTTGGAAAACAATATGGCACTTCCTTAAAATGCCATAAATAGAAATACCATACGATCCAGCAATCCCACTCCTAGGAATATGTCCTAGAGAAATAAGAGCCGTCACACAGACAGGCATATGCACACCTATGTTCATTGCAGCATTACCCACAACAGCAAAAAGATGGAAACAATCTAAGTCCCCATCAACAGATGAATGGATAAACAAACTACGGTACATACACACAATGGAATACTACACAAAGATAAAGAACAATGATGAATCTGCAAAACATCTCACAACATGGATGAATCTGGAGGGCATTATGCTGTAATAAGTCAATCACAAAAGGACAAATACTGTATGAGACTACTATTATAAAAACTCATGAAAAGGTTTACACACAGAAACAATCTTTGATGGTTACGAGGGAGGGGAGGGCTGGGGAGGCAAAAACACTAACTAGACAATAGATAAGTGGTAACTTTGGTGAAAGGTAAGACAGTGCACAGTACTGGGGAAGCCAGTACAACATGACTAAGGCAAAGTCATAGAAGCTTCACAGACACATCCAAACTCCCATAGGGATTGAGTTACTGGGCTGAGGGCTGTGGGGACCATAGTCTCGGGGGACATCTAGCTCAACTGGCACAACGTAGTTTATAAGGAAAATGTTCTACATCTTACTTTGGTGAGTAGCGTCTGGGGTCTCAAAAGCTTGTGAGCAGCCATCTAAGATAGGTCTACTGGTCCCACCCCATCTGGAGCAAGAGATAATGAAGAAAACCAAAGATACAAGGGAAAGATTTGTCCAAAGGACTAAAGAAACACAACTACCACAGCCTCCACCAGACTGGGTCCAGCACAACTAGATGGTGCCGGGCTACCACCACTGACTACTCTGACAGGGATCACAATAAAAAGCCCCAACAGAGCTGGAGAAAAATACAAAACTAACTCACACACACACACACACAAAAAGACCAGACTTACTGGTCTGATGAAGACTGGTGAATCCCCAACAATATGGCCTCCAGACATCCTTCTAACTCAGCACTAACCTCACTCCTGAGGTTCATCCTTCAGCCAAAGATTAGACAGGCCCATATAACAAACAGTAATACTCATAGCTCAATCTCACCATGTATACAAGACTATATCGGCACACCAGCCCAGGGGCATGGACAAGAAAACAGGAGGGGACAGGAAAGCTGGATGAATGGAAATGGGGCACCCGAGGTCAAGAAGGGGAAAGAGTTGACACATTATGCGGTTGGCAACAAAACTATGTATATTGCTTAATGAGAAACTAATTTGCTCTGTAAACTTTTACCTAAAGCACAATAAAAAATACAAATAATACAAACTAAGAGTTGAATCAGACAATTGGGGAAGAGTTTCAGAATGGAAAACTAAGAAAAGAATAATTATTAGTTCCGGAAAAACATAAGTTGTACCAGAAAGGAAAAGTAATCATAATATATGACTTTCATGATATATCATAATATGGCTAAGCTGAGAGTAAAAGTCATGTAGCGATAATAATGTAAACAAATAATTTAAACAACACAACTAAAAACTCATCTTTTACGTGTAAAGCCAATGTCTAAGGCCCAGGAAGCAACAGCAATATATACATGTTATTGAGAGATACAGCACTAGAAAACAAAAGAAACAAGGGGCTAGAGGCTGGCGGAGAAGAAGTATGACTGCTAGTTTTCATAATAAGCTTTGCAGAACTATTTACCTCTTTATGTACACATTAACATTTTGATTAAAGTAAAAACTAAATTAACAAGTAAAATACAGTAAGGCTAATGAAGCCTTTATATATCTTCTTACCTGGATCACCTAGCTTGTGAGACATTTCATTTAAGGTCTCTATCTCCTCTTCTTTTGGAGCATGAATGACCATAACCGTGGATCCTAAAATACTCAGCAGACACCCAATTTTCCCATGAAGATTAAGTCTTTCATTTAGGAAGTATGAAGAGAGAATGGCACTAAAATGGTTTAAAAAAAAAAGGGGGGGGGGTCAAAAACATAATTATCAAGTTTTCTCATTTTTAAATATCAACACAACTTGGGAGTTTAGAATATTGAACTCAAACTAGAACACTGTCAGAGTACAGAGATTCTGGTTTTCACCACGGTATAGAAAATGCACATACAATCATAAAATAAAAGTTTCTAGGGAATCACCTGCTTCATCATATACAAATTCATGATTATTTACCATCTTACTACTGTAAGAAGTCAATATGAAACTTACAGTAACAGGAGCTATAGTTTGTACGAATTTACATACTAATTAGGAATCTGTATCCAAACCAACGCTTAAATGTATGCTCAACTTTAATTTATCCCTACTGGTTGATGCATCCTTCTTATTTGTCCATTTAATTCTACACAGTTTACTTATTATCAAATTTTCATACTTTATAGCCAGTTTTTTTTTCACATTTAAAGAGAAAATACACTATATAAGCCTATAAACATAATGATATAAAATACAGAAAATTAAGGGCAAAGATATGTACCATAACCCTTTATTGTGTAGTATCTTTAGAGAAAAGGATAAAAATATCTATCAATCAATTCTGGGAACAGAAACCAAAATACAGACTTCGATTTGTTTATTGATATGGGCTAATCATTAAAATAACAAAAATAGGGTAAGTCTTAGACAGCTGCTTCCAAACTAGTATACAAGGCCAATCCTTCTGAAGTACACAACCTGATCCCCAGTCAATGACTGTAGTAGGAACAGAAATCTATTCTTCACCAAACACTACCTGACAAACCATGTATGTGACAAGCAGTAAATGTTTTGACAAATGCAACTCAGAACTTTAAAAAACTGAAATTAAACTAGAACTAGTGCTAGTTCTGAACATAAGCAAGGCAAAGCATAAAAGCATTTTCTTCCACATTTTGGAAGGCTTGCATATGTACAAACAATAACATCTTAAAAGTAAACAGTGCTTTTACACACAGTGTAAAATCTTAAAAAAAAACGAAACCCACTGCCATTGAGTCGATTCCGACTCACAGCAACCCCACAGGACAGAGGAGAACTACCCCATACGTTTCCAAGGCTGTAAATCTATACAGAAGCGGACTGCCACATCTTTTTCCCACTGAGTGGCTGGCGGGTTCAAACTGCCGACCTTTTGGTTAACAGCCGAGTGCTTAACCACTGTGCCACCAGGGCTTCTAAGCACTGAAAAGTTGGTCTATTAAAAAAATCAAGCCTGTTGCCATCAAGTCAACTCCAACTCATGGTGCCCCATGTGTTACAGAGTAGAATTGTCCTACAGGGTTTCCTAGGCTTTAATTTTTACTGAAGCAGATCACCAAGTCTTTCTTCAGTGGTGCCACTGGGTGGGTCTGGTTATGAGGCAAGCAAACCACTTTTGCCACTTAGGGACCTCAGCTGATCTATATTAGTGTTAACTATTATCCAAAAAATCATTCCTCATTCATTGTGAGCCACCTCACCCATACCCACTGAATTCATAGGTTTGAGGTATCATCCTTTGATTGAACACTTAAGCCTGTTATGAAACAACCTGCAATGTTTTCAGAAATATCTAGTGAGAAAAGGGTAAACAATTCTAGGCACTACTTCAAACGTTGGAAAGATGGGGACCACTTATTGTCATGAACTTAATTAAAAAAAGATGTAGAAATTTGAGAATGTACTTTAAGAATTAAGGACTACTGACAAGAGTCCAATTTCTATCACTTATCCATCAGGTTGAGGATCATCTCACAGGTCAAGTCTCCCAAGAACTCAAGGTTGTTTAAATGTAGATTATGCTGTACACACATAATCAGATGGTACTGCATATTTTACAGACTAAAATACTTGACTACTGTTTGATACATGAAACACAGTGTCCTTACCTTGCTATCCTTACCTTACTAGGACGCTGAGAGCTCCTAATGGAGTCACTAACGTGGCTGGTGCAAATGCATATGCAGCGAAGTTGGCCACCTCACCAGCTCCCACTTGGAGATGGATAACAAAGAAAAACTCTCAAATAGGAATATACACGCTCAAATTGCAAATGCCTGAATTTTATGCAATATCTATATATTATTTCAACTATATCTACCAATTGTGTATTTTCTCCTACCTATTCAAAAGGGTAAAGATTGCCCTGTAAATTATTAGAAAAGCATTAAAATCAATTAGAAAAATACAAATGTATAATTTTAACTGAAGCAATCCAATTTACGCTTACGTTTAGGTTTTCTAATAAAAAATTTAAGTAGATATTTATATCCTTTGACAACAAACACTAATCAATTGAGAAGCCAAAGGTGAGACTTCTCCCAAGTCTTTTTCACTGGGTCCTCTTTTTCTTAAGACCCAACTAATGTTCAAAACATATCCTAGGGTACCTAATATGTGCCAGGTCCTGTTCTAGGGTCAGGAAACATGGCAGGAGCAAAACAAAGAAACCACTCTCATTTAACACTTACATTTTTGTGAAGGAAAATTGAAAAACCCATTGCCACTGAGTCGATTCTGACTCATAGTGACCCTACAGGACACAGTAGAACTGCCCCATAGGGTTTCCAAGGCTGTAAATCTTTATGGAAGCAGAATGTCACACCCTTCTCTGTGAAGTACTGGTGGGTTCGAAATGCCCACCTGTCGGTTAGCAGCCGAGTGCTTAACAACTGCACCACCAGGGTTCCTTCTGTGAGGGAATAGATTAAAATCCGTATGTAAAGCGGTTAAGAGTGCTATGAAGAAAAAACGCCAAAGGAAAGCAACGGAGTGATGGTAAGGGGAGAAGGTATGCTACTTTTTATCATGTGGTTAGTTAAGGGCTCTCTGATAATGTAACTTCTGAACAATCTAAAATGAAGTGAGGGAGTTTATTATGCAACTATTTGGGGAAAAAACATTCCAAGCAAGGGAAACAGCAGGTACAAAAAACTCTGACTCAAGAAAGGTTTGGCATGTTTAAATAGCAAGGAAGGGGGAGAAGGGCAAGCGAGTCAGAGAGGTAGCCAGGGCCACATCATGCAAGAAGACCGTGGGAGTCACAGTAAGGGTTTTACTTGAGTTGAAAAGTCAGTGGAGAATTTTATGCAAGAGAGGACATGATCTAATAAAAGGGTCAATCTCTTCCAAAGTGGTTATTCCAATTTTCACTTCCACTAGCAGTGTATGAGAGCTCCCTTTGCTTCACACTCACCAATACTTGATACTGTCAGAGTTAAAAATCTGCTAATCTGTTAGGGGTGTGGGATTATTTTATTGTGCTTCCATTTTGCATTCCCCCCTTTCATTTCATTAGCCAAATGAACTACTTTTTTAGTGAAGTAGCTGTTCAAGTTTTCCCACCTATTAGGTTATTTATTTTCTTACTGATTTAATTCTTTATGTATTTTGGACATAAATCTTTTGTAGGTTAAACACGTCACAATTTTTTTTTTTAACACTGTGATTTGCCTTTTCATTCTCTTCTACAGTCGGCCCTCCGAATCCACAGGTTCCGCATCCGCAGATTCAGCCAACTGCAGATTAAAAATATTTGAAAAAAAAAAAGAAGTTCCAAAAAGCAAAACTTGAATTTGCTGCACGCTGACCACTACGCTGAATCCACGGGAATGAAATGGTGCGTAGACATGCCCTGCTGCAGACTCCCACCATTCACTGATCCTCAGTCTCCCAGCACTCACTGTTTTAACTTTGTTCGCCTGGCATCTTGTCATTATTCGCTAAACAATACCGTGTAACAACTATTTACACAGCATTTACATTTTATCAGGTATTATAAGTAATCTAGAGGTGATGTGAAGTATAAGGGAGGATGTGCACAGGTTATATGCAAATACTATGCCATTTTATATACCCTTATATACCTTTATATACCCAAAATCCGCACTTGCAGATTTTGGTATCCGTGGGGAGTCCTGGAACCAACCAATTACCTGCGGATACCGAGGGACAACTGTATACTCTTTTGAAAAGAAGTTCTTAATTTTAATGCTGTCAAACAATTTTCCTTTATGGTTAGAGTGTCATACAACTTGTTTAAGAAATCTTTCCCTAAATTCTTTCTTTTTTTTATGTTTGGAGTGAGGTAGAAACCCAATTTTTTTTTTTTCACATGGATACCAGTTGTTACAGCAATATTTACTGAATACTGCTTTTTCTTACTTCTCTTCAATACCACCTTTGTCATAAATATAGTGTGCATGGGTCTGTTTCAGGGCTTCATATTCTATTCCATTGGTCTACGTTATCTTAGTACAATACCATACTGACTTAACTACTGTAATTTTGTAAGTCTTGATACCCACAGAGCAAGTTCTTTCACCTCTTCATCTTAAGAGTTATCTCTGCTCTTACTGGAGTCTTGTATTTCCATATAGAATTTTAAAAACAATTTATCATGTACCACCTAACAACCTACAGTTTTGACTGTATTTTATCTGTAAATCAGTATGGAGAAAAGACAGCTTCAGAATACCGAACCTTCCAATCAACGAACATGGTATATCCCTCTATTTAGGTCTTTTTCACAGTAATGTTTTAGTTTTCTCTGGAGAGACTTTCCTATCTTTTGTTAAGTATTTATTTGTTAATACTATATGCTGATCATGCCACTTTAACATTTCTTTGCTGCTGACATACAGAAATACTACTAAGTTTTGTATACTGATTTTGTATCCGGCAATCTTGCTAAATCTTACTTTCATGATATATCTGTATATTCTTTTGGAATCTTGATACTCACAACCATATAATTAGCAAACAACAATAGTTTTATATATTCCTTCCCAATCTTCCTAGCTGCTTCTTTTTCTTGTCTTAGTGCATTGGCTAGAAATTCTAGTAAAATGTTGGGAAAAAATGATGAGAGCTCATATGCTTGTCTTGTTCCCAGTCTCAAGAAGAAAGCTTTCAATGTTTTCCCATTAAGCAAAGTATTTATTGTGTTTGTTCTGGGCTTTTTTCTTGTTTTAAAAATCCTGCATATATTATGGAAACTCATTTAAATTACTAATCTGCAATGGTTTCTCTTTTTATTCATGAATAGTCCCTGAATTTTACTGAAAATGATCATATACTTTTTCTCCTTTAATCTGTTAACATGATAAATCAGCGATTGGTTTTCTAAAGTTATGCTTACTTTGCATTCCTAGAATAAATCTAACTTGCTCATGGTGTATTAACTTAAATTTTTTTAAGGATTTTTACATATATGTTCATAAGTGAGACTGGGACTGTAATTTTCCTTTTTTATTCTTCGTCAGGTTATGCTAGCCTTTTAAAATGAGTGGAGTAATATACGCTTTTCCTATTATTGGGACATTTCTCCCGATTGAAATTATTTCTTCTGTAATGACTGCAGAACCTGCCAATGAAACCATCTGGGTCCAGGATTTTATATATGCAGAAGTTTTTAAAATACAGATTCAACTGTTTTAAGTTAGGAGTACTTTGATTTTCTATTTATAGCCATTTTGATGTTTTCTTTTTCAATAGAAATAGAAATCTGGCATTTTATCTAAGTTTTACTGTTTACTAAACTGTTCAAAACATCCTTTTCCAAAAAACCAAACCCTTTGCTGTCGAGTCGATTCTGACTCAGCGACCCTATAATATCCTATTACTGTAAAACACCTAGTAGCTTTTTCACCTTCTCTTTTTCTGATCAGTTCACCAGAGATTAGTTTCACCTGTCTGATCATAAACTAAAATGTTTGCTTTAATAATTTTCTATTTAATTAGTTTTAGCTCTTCCTTTTATTCACTTCCTTCTACAGTTGTGGGCTTTTTTCTATTTTTCTGCCATTCTTTTCCTAAAATTTTTTCATTAGATGCCTATCTTTCTTATTTTTAATTATATGTACTTAAAACTATATATTCTACTCTAAGTACTTACTTTAGTTATATTTTCCACAAGTTATGATATGCTGCATTTGGAACCAATGTATTATTTTCTAATATAAATATATTTTTAAAATATTTTCTATTTCTATTATGACTTCTCTAAATCATCGGTTACATAAAGGTGCATTTCTTAATTTTCACACATATGGGATTTTCCTGTTATCTTTTTGTTATTGATCTCTAACATAATTATGGTGCTCTATGAAAATACCTCATTAAATCTTATGAAAAACGCTACACTGGCTTCATGAGGGAGCCATGCTAGCGCACTGGTTAAGTGCTCAGTTGCTAATTGTAAGGCCAGCGGTTCAAACCCACCAGTCACTCTGTGGGAGAAAAACGTGGCAGTCTGCTTCCAAAGATTACAGCCTTAGAAACTCTATAGGGTAGTTCTACTCCATCCTATTGGGTTGCTAAGAGTCACAATCGACTTGACAGATGGGTTTGGTTTTTGGTTTTAGCTCTATGACCCACCAAATGGTCAATTTTTATAAATATCCAAAATGCACTGACTCTGAAGTTGAGTCCAGTGACGTATGTCTATTATGTTAAATTTGCTGTTTAAATTTTCTGTAGCCTTAACAAGTATTCTGTGCTTGTTGTATCAACTAGTGAAAGCAGTATATTAAAATCTGATGATTTTGGATTTATCTATGTCTCCTTGTTTTGTCAATTTATGCTTTGTATATTTCAAGGTCATATTATTAAATATGTCCTGGAAGAAGTACAGCCAGAATGCTCCTTAGAAGCGAGGATGGCAAGACTTCGTCTCACATACTTTGGACATGATTTCAGGAGGGATCAGTCCTGGAGAAGGACATCATGCTTGGTAGAGGGTCAGTGAAAAAGAGCAAGACTCTCAACGAGATGGACTGACACAGTGGCTGCAACAACGGGCTCAAGCATAACGATAGTGAGGATGGTGCAGGACCAAGCAGTGTTTCATTCTGTTGTATACAGGGGTTGCTATGAGTTGGAACCGACTCAACGGCACCTAATAACAACATTAAATAATGTTAAGAACTGTTTAGTTTACTAATGAGTTTTTCATATTTATGAAATAACCCTCTATCTCCAGTATTGATTTTTG